ACATACTTTTACTGCACAGTTGACACGGTGGCTGGGCAACTGGCTGTCGCGCAACGTATCGCAGGTTCGATTCCCGTACGGAACAACACTTCGTGTGATCAACTAACAAATTGTGTTGATCCGGGTCTGGGTGTGATGTGTAATGTTTGAAATCGCCCTTACGACACAGGAGACAATCTAGAGTAGGACAACGTTTTTTTTTTTAAAGTTGATTTTGGAAAAACTACTTTGTTTTGGCAGAGCAGCAGGCACGTATAACTTTACAAGGTATTAAAGTCACATTAAAACTGGTCAGAACTCACATCCCTAAGCTTAAGAAATACTAAAAACACAAACTACTAAATTAAAAATACTTACTAAGGAATCTAACAGAATAATTTTCTTTTTTATTAAGTACTTGTTTTTACTTGTTCTCCTTTTAAACCATCAACCTGTATATTAACAAGATGGTATCGCGTTGCATTCGAGCATAAAATTTTTATTCCGGTGAAAGTAGAACGGATCGTATCCGAAAAACAATGTAAATGTTCATGCGGTTCGTTCATTTGTAATAATATCATTCGAATGTAATAACTGCTCTCTAGGTACATCCAAATAATAGGTATTTCATATCACCTTTACCGTTACTGAATTTTTAAAACACCCTAGAGTTGTATAATGTAAAAACAAAGTTGAAAGAAAAATATCAGTCCATCAAATGTATTGCATTTATGACCATAAAAACAGACGCAATAAGGGACCGCAGCATTGGCCTAAAGCAGAAGAAGGAACGGGGTGAGAGGGTCTGTTAAGTCAGTAAGAGTCTGACACTCCCTCTCGCCTCACACTGAGCGAAAGAAGTCATTTGATGATTTTCCCCTCACAAAAAGATGGACACTTGTGGAAAGTAAGTCAAAGTGGAAACGGCCACTTCTCAGCTTAATGCTTCAGTGCGGGCTCGAGACCACAGCGCAAAATTTTAGGTTTTTGTCTTGCTGTTTATCTGTCTGTCTGTTTGTTCCGGCTAATCTTACGAATAGCTTTACCGATTTTGACCGGACTTCTCTAGGCGTGTATTAGTTACATGCCTTTTTTTGCCATGGGAAAATCATCTAATGACTTCTCCCGCCCAAGGGTAAGGCAAGAGAGAGTGTCAGATACTTACTGACTAAAAACGTCCCCGTTACTTCTCCTGTGCCGAGGTCGCGGTGCCTCATTGCCCATTGCGCTTACCCCGCAACCCGGCTGGACATGGCTCTTTGAGACACGCGCGGAACGCTACGCGCCCTTACTTACATGCCTAATGAAGTTCTGAGGAGTAACATAGGCTATTTTTATCATAGAACAATTCTTTTATAATTATAGAATATACCTAGTATTTTTGCATGATGGTCAGTCAAACTTTATTTAAATTTTACTCGATTTATGTTAACCCACACCAGTAACTGTAACCACGGCTCATATTATATCAGTCTAGGTAGATTAAGTGCTTATACTGAAACTAGAGCCATTTGTCACGGACAACACAACAGGCTGGTTAATTTGTCTGACACTAGGTAAATGTCTGGGTCTAGATAAATCTAGGTTCATTTGTAGGGAGATGGATTGTTTTGTGATTATTTGTATAGATAATAAGTTTTTATTGTTGACAATAATAAGAAGAAAACTTTTCCTTTTTAATCCCTGAAATACTACACAGGCGTCTTCTTAAAAACATTTACTCACCACAGGACCTTTTTGCAATATTAAATGTATTGTGGACAAGATGGTTGGGCAACCAGTTGTTCAACTGGCTCACTTTGCTACAATTTTTTGTTATAAGTTTGAGTGTCAGATGTTTTTTAAGTTCAGCTGTGAACTAAGCTCAGCAATAAGGCACAGTGGCTTCGGCCTAGGACGGGAGAAGAAACGGGGGCGGGGTTAGCCAGTAAGAGTCTGACACTCCCTCTGACCTTACCCTGGACGACAGAAGTCATTTGATGATTTTCTATCCACAAAAAAGCACATTTGTAACGTTAAATGTATTGTTGACAAGATGGTTGGGCAACCGGTTCTACAACTAGTGAAGCGTTTTCTAAACACAAATACGATCCGGGAGAAAATACTAGGTGAGTTTTTTTTAAATGTTTTATACCATATAACAACAATGTCGGACCCAGGAACAGATCGAGATATCAAAATCCTGTGCTAGGTAATCTAAGACCATTCCACCACGTAATCACTGAAATATTACAAGATTTTTAAATATCTACCAAACACGATACCTGTGTAAATATTTTCCGTTTTATTATATTAAGTAATATTTACGCCCAACAAGCGTGTCGGTGCTCGCATGGAGATTGATCGTCTTACAACAGTAGCTTTAGGCTGTGCACATACAATGCCACAATTTTGTCGCAATAACAAAACGTTTTAAATATGTAACATTTTAATAAATTATAAAAAAATAACTAACACAAAATACTCTCGTATTTAGAATCTCCTTAAAATTTCATAAAAGACTATGTACTTCAAACCTTTAAAAACTTTTCTAATTACCTTTGAAATATATAACAAAACTAATAAAAATGACATTCGAATTTGGAATCCTCAAAATTGTATCCTAGACTTTATTTATTTACGTTCATAAAAAAGAATATTTTTTTTAAATCATGTAATTTAACCAAAAAAAAAACATTACCTATAGACAACAAAATTCGTTTTTTAATTTTGAATAAAGAATACTGGAATGCATTAAATTATATCTAGACGCGTTTGTTGGATAAGATAATAATTTATGTTACCTATACTCCGCCGTAATGACGATATATCATAAAAATGCACTTTAAATATGACGTTGATATAAATATAAAATGTTTATTTAACACTCAATTACATAGTACTACGCTTTTAGTTTAGTCATCGCAATCGCGAGATCGACTTGATTTTACATTTCCCGGTTAAAATTACATACTTAAATTTTACACAAGTAGACTCTATCAGGTCAAAATACTCGTTTCTGTTTTTCTTTATTAGATTTTCAATTTTATTATTTTGATGCGTAAGTCGAAAATCCAATGAACCCAATGTAGTTTGACCTGTGAATCAGAGTACTTACTAGTTTCTTTCTATTTACTTTCTTTTTAATAAAAGACGTTTGTGCAGAAAATGATTTTGTGGATTTCCATTTTTAATTTTAGTTTATTCGAAATTTAAAAATTTGTCTTTTTCTGTTCTATAAGGTTAAATCCCAAGGAAACTGACATTCCAGCCTTAAATTGAAAGAGGTCACTTACTGCGCTTCCTGTAATTATGAAAAATAGTTGGAAGACTTAATATCAGTAATTTATTCGTAATACTTAGATCTTCTTAGTAATTTTGTAATATTAGGTATTGTCTAATTAATTGACTTCTTTAGAGAAAGCTCAGAATATTTACTGATAAGGTAGTTAGTCCAAGAATATTTTGCTAAAGAATACCCGGTCGGTTTTCTTTACCAAAATATTTGGTTTCTTAATAGTTAGAGTTATTTGATATCTCGGTAATAAAGATTAATTTAGTAGTACTGTTTTTAAATGCAGCTTGCTTGCTAAGCTGAGAAATCTTAAATTATACATATACTATTCTCTCTGAGGCCGTGGTATCACTCCGGTCGAGACAGCCCATTCGTACCGAAGCTTGGCCCTGCCCTCACTTATAAGTTCTCTCACATGTGGCCTGCTATAACTGATAGACACTATACGTGCAAACTATAGATACCAAGATTACTTTAAATTCAACATACAACAAAAACTCGCCACAATATTAAACAAAACATTTCAGTTTTAATCTCACAATCTTTTACTATATAAAAGTTAAATCTCTTATGAAAATTCACAAAGGCAGACCAGACAAACAGGGTAATTTTGTTAATTTCATGTTTTTGTAACTATATCATACTTACAGAATGAGCCATTTATTTTATTTGTGCTTGGCAAAAAACAGTAACTACTTGGAACATTTTTATTTTTATTTTTAAATGTCCTTGTAAATTAATTTAAATAAATGTACCTTTATGCATATAAGGTAGAGGGATAACAGAAGGAAGGATAAATTGGATGACAATCCAAACTAATAATATAAAAGTGAAAGTAACTCTATATGTCTGTCTGTCTTTTCTTCACGCCTAAACTACTGAGCCGATCTCTGTGAAATTTGGCACAGACATAGTGTGGAACTCGAGGAAGGACATAGGATAGTTTTTATACCAAAAGTCTGCAGGAAGTCACTATTGCACGCCATAGCTGATAACCAGCTCAGTATAGTATAATTGAAATGAGAATTGTTTAGGTATAATCAGAAGACACGCTCTAAGATCTGTTGTCTGTGAACAGGTTCCAAATTGTGCACTGATTTATATAAAACTTTGTCTTTAAATTTATCATAACTATAGAAAAACAGCTAAGTAATTTCAACACATTACTGACATTATCTTTTACGCAACGCCAAGCACATGTTTTTTGTGTCATAACATACAAATTCGTTCATACCTAATTACCTAGAACTGATTGCCAAAACAATGAGTCAGTCAGGGTGCGCCGACGCTTTCAACACATTGTTTTCTTACACACCCCTCTAGTCAAGCGCGGATCTAGCCTTCAAAAAAGGTTGTGGTCACAACTACTGGAAAATCGGCTAAGTACGAGTCGGAGCATGGACATTCTCATTAACAATCATGCTAATCGTTTATGAACTTATGAATTAGATTAATTTTCTCTGAGCATCAGAACTTTAGCCTTAGAAATGTAAATAAACTTAGGAAGAAGTCGGACACGATTTCTTCTAATTTCTATTAGTCAGTTTCGATCCGAACCTATTTCAATCACAAGTGTAATAAGGTTGTGGGCATGCCCATCGTGCCCACAACGCTGGATCCGCCCTTGCCTCTAGTCGAAGGAATTGTTAAACTTTATAATAATACGTTATCTTTGAAGTGACGCCCAGTCTGTTCTTAGCCTACTGATATAACACAATTGATAATAATGATTATCTTAGAACACCTTCTTCAGTGTTCATTCTACTTACGTGAAAAGTTGTTCAGTGTTGTACGTAGTGATTGAATATTCTTTTTTCAAATTTTCATAAAAAAGAAATTGTTACGAAAGAAAAAAAAATTGGTTGCGTCACGTGTCGATTTTATTTATGGTCGTATTTTGTTTTTCGTTAAAATTATTTCGTTTACACTGTGGGAATTTAAACGTTTTAATTTAAAAAAAAAATAGTGACAGTGAGCCTGCCCCTCGGAAAAATCGTGTGGTTTTGTTATTTATTATTTTGTGCAGTGTTTCGTATTATATAATCTGTAAATAATATTTATATTGATTGGTAAATATAATATATTTCTGACAAACCGGTTGTTGAACAATACATATTAAAACAAATAAAAACAACATTAAACAGGTATAAAAAACAACTGGTTGTACTCATCCGATCTTCTTTGATTTATTATATCGTATAATGAGATACTAAATCACTTTAACATCTTAAAAATACAAAGCTATATAATGTCAACAATAAATTAAAAATAACAAAAAACAATCAATTAAAAACAATATTTATAAAATGCATTTTTTTTAAATATGATAAATCGTTTTTGACTGTTTAAATTTCTGGCAAAAAAAGATGATATACTAAAAAACACAAGCTACTGTGAAGGTATATTGTCTACTTTTTAGTTAACTAAGAATTTTTTTAACATTAGTAATACGTGTGCAGAAAATAATATATGTAAAATACCAAAATGTCAACTACTTATAGGTACCATCTGCAGAACCGTCCCTGCTCGAAAAATATATAACAACTAATCATATATTTTAAGTAATAGATTCGTTTTCTACATAAAAAGAGTCGAACTACTTAATGCCTGTGGCCGGGATCTCCACTATGAAGCGATAAGTTACACAAATATATTGATTTTGAATCAAGATGTCGTCTTGCAAATTACATTATTTAAACCATGCTTAGTCCAGGCTAGCATTACTTGCAACTGTCATGCCCTCATAAGCAAACTAGCTTGCCCCTCATCTTGGCACATAATATCTGATTTTACGCATACTGACTGCACCAGCCTCTCTCAGTACATAATTTAACATTTTAATAGAAAAAGTTTACACACTTCTTCTAAGTGGTAACAAGATTTCTAATGAGTTGAGTAATTTTCTTTTTTCTCGGTCTTTTAAAGTAGGGTTATGCGAGAATACGGACTCTGTTGTATTCGAGACAAAGATACTATTTCTTTTGAAAAATTCTAAAAGTCTATCCATTATTGACCATAGACATTCAGTTCACTTTTATTATGAGATAAAATCTAATAATCTAAATAAAACTCACTTCTTATATCATCATAACACATTTAAATTAGACGACAATACAAATAATAGTACAATATAACTGGTCTGATGATGGAATGACAAGATGGCTGGTGAGACCTTGGACGGACATAGTTTTTTTTTTATTAAAACAAGCTAAAACAATTGCGGAAAGATCCATGCTTTGATGATACCATAGCTTTACAGAAAACCAATTTAAAACAAGGCTTGCATTGTATTTCGCTGCGTGAGAAAGATTACCAGAGGTCGAATTACTAAATCTTGTAACTTCTCAATGTGTGTCATAAGGCGCCGCCGCTTTTTTTATGTAATAAGTCGGCAAACGAGTAGACGGATTACCTGATGGTAAGCAATCAGCGCGGCCCATGGACACCTGCAACGGAGGAGTTACGAGTGCGTTGCCGACCTTTTATGGATTAGGGATTTGGAGATTTTGGGATTGAGAAAGGGTCCAGGGAGGGAAAGGATTGGGCCTCCGGTAACCTCACTCACACGTCGAAACACAACTCTGTGGTTGTTTTACGCCGGTTTTCTGTGAGGCCGTGGTATCGCTCCGGTCGAGCCGATCCATTCGTGCTGAAGCATGGCTCTCCCACACTTAAACTCTTGCTTAAAATCTGGGGATTGGCGTTTGTTGAGCTGAAGTTCAAAAACAAAACACGATCTATTTAAATAAAAACTGATTTGTTATCAAACAAACTATTTATAATACATATAAATACAATTAATGACATAGTGATACAAATATTTCTAATTTATGACATTGTTACCGTTAATGCATTGATTAGATTTAATGAAGGTCGTATAACAATAACAAAGGGAATTCCGATAAGGATGTGTGTTTATAGAATATTTTAATAGAATAAGATAAAAATATTTAGTGATAAAACTTTTTGCTAATTGATATTCTAATTCGATGATAGATTAATCAATTACTAGTTGAAATGTTATATGTGATATATTTTATCAACATAAAACCCTTATATTTAACTACGCGACCCGCCAAACTCCATATCGACCTTAATATAAATAATGTTCTGTTCTTTCCAACATTCACTGGACTTCGATTTTTGAAACCAAAATTGTCCAGAACGGCCCAGCTGTTTTCCAGTTTTGGCGACACTAACGAACAGCGATTCATTTTAATGTATAAGATTAAAATATTAATTAAATATCTCTTTAAGAAGTTAAAGAAAGCAATTTTAACGTGTGTCTTAAAAAAAATCTACTAGTAGGTATTTTTAAACCCAAATGTTATCGAAATTTTCGGAATTAGGGATTTGAGGAATAGGATTATTTGAGAATTGGGGAAAGGGAGAAAGGATTTTGGCCACATCCAAAATCCAATAACCAACCTCACTCACACAGCGAAAGAATAAGCTTCACCCAATCTTTCTTTGTGGCTACGTTGTCACTCCGGTCGAACTGGCTCATTCTCTTCCACGCATCTCTTTCTCTCATTCCTGTATTTTAAGAAGAGATTCTAACAGAGTCCACTCTTGTAAGCATTCAATACTTAAGTGCCTATTCTTCAAACAATATTCGTCATGTGAATTCACACCTCAACGCTAAAGCATGTGATTTCCAATATTACATATAATACAATCATTCATCTTTCGACATTATCTGAATTTTTATCTTTGCTTAAAACAAACACCATAATACTTAACTGCATTGGTTTTAAGTTCAAAATCGTACGTCAATGTTTATCTCAAGTCTTTGGCCTTCGGACTATGCTGCAAGGTAAGAGATGCTTGAAGATTTTCTTCGATGATCTTGAATAAGGTTTTTAGGTCAGATTTATCTCTAGGAAAATGTACTCATGACTTCACATCAAGCTATATTTACCAGTTTTTCATGGCCTTGCATTGTATGATTTTTGTATACATTCAACGGTCAGCTTATACTGGTTTACATAGTTTGACATGCACACGGCATGTCAAACTATGTAAATGCCTATAAAATTCGTACGGTATCAAGATGTTGGTCAAAATAAAGTAATATTACTACAATGTCAGCATGTTATTGTTATGAGTTAAAGCCTATTGATCCCAATAGAGTGTTTTTGTTTTAAAATTTCCAGTATCTTAGTAATAAGGGTTTTCTAAAAGGTTCAAACAACTGTCAAAATGCAAACACGATTTATATTTTGCGGTGTTTTTTTTTTGTTTATATGTGTATTCTTACAAAACATTACAAACGGGATATTGTTTTCCAATATGCCACAGTATTGGGTAACGACTATGTGCAAATGAACATACTTAGGCACTCTTTTTGAGTTCAATCTTCAGTTTGGCAACCATATAACTAACCAAAATCAATGATACGTCCAAATAAATAAATTTTCACTAACAAATGATATATTCGTTAAGAATTTGTATAACAACTGTTTGGACCTAACGCATACGAAGCGCCGCCTGGCGGCAGAAAAAGTATCGAAAGCCCTTATTAGTAACTATACTAAGGACGGTAGCACCGTTTGGCAGAAGGTGTATAAATTAGGTCCCACTATTTTACAAGAAACAATAGAATTAAGGCATCAAAATCTACACTTCTATACTAATATTACAACTGATATGTGGATGGGTGATCATTGAATGTATAATATGTTCTAATCTAAACTAATATAAAATTTGTAAGTTTGTATGTAGGGGTAATCTTTAGAACCGCTAGTCGGTTTTCCAAAATTTTTTCACTGATAGATAGCTACAATGTTTCTGAATGCAATAGGCTATGAAACATCACGCTACGATCAAATAGAGCAGCGTTTGAAACCGCGCGAGAGTAGCTAGTATATTATAAACTCACAAATCATTATTTTTAAGCCAACATTTTTTGTAGCATTGTTTTCCAAAAATCGAGCAGAATAGATAAAGCTATTCACATCTGAATCTTTACCCTGAATCTCCCATATTTATCAGACGCTGCCCTTGATCTAAAAATCTTGTTCACAACAAATTCAATACTGTGAAAATCTCAAGTATTGTACATTGTTTGTAATAAACAATTATTTATGTATACCTACTTCTATATGTATATAGGTATGTAGGTACGGAGTATACGTATATATAGAAACTTTCTAATCGCTCTGAATAAATTCCCAATACACGGACCCTATTTTTAACTTAAGTAAAATATTAGATTTGCAATTATTTAGTTTTATATAGGTAGGTTAATATACTTATCTTATTAACAAAAAAGTGCCTACCATTCATGAAAAATATATGTTTTATTTTGTTGTAATAAGTTTCTAAATGCTTTGCGTTACGTTTTTTTGTAGATTTGCTGTCTTAGGTATCACATGTCATAGTTGCACGGTGTATAAGGCAAAAAAGTTAGGTTTAAAAAGGTTTTAATGAAATATTAATTATAAAAAAAAATCCGAAACAAAAAGTTAAAAATATTATATTATTACAAAAGAATTTCGATTTGAATAACTATAATAAAACTTTTTTTGCTTATCAATCCTATTATGCTCTCTATTCCATATTCAAATTATAACATAATAACATTACCATTAACAACAAAATTATTAAAATAACAGCGTAGGTAGCTTCTCTCAAGTCTTACAACAACGTCGTATTCAAATTTAAATTTACAAAATTATAGGTTTTCGTGAATCAAACATCTCAAGATACTTGTACAAGATAAGAATGGCTGAATGTCAAGATAACGTGGAAACTAGGTTTCTTTTACATGCACATCTAGTTATCCCT